CGATGCAGGTTGGCCCTGATCTGGTTTCCAAAATTTTCTGTATTTTTAGTTTGTATTGTTTGCCTTTTGTACATATTAGGGTATATCTCAGAGGTGTTAGGTCATTGGGGGTCACCCTCTTGAAGTTATGTTTTTTTGTTTTTCTGTATATGAAACCCAGGATTGATGAACCTATAGTGATAGCTAGTAGAACAAGCGTTTTTGGGGGAGGGGGTTATAGTGGGGGTGGTGCGGTGAAAGAGAGCGTCAAGGAGTCCATGTAGAAAAGATGGTTTGGCAACTGTGGTAGGTAGCAAATGTACTATTCTGCTGGATGTGACTGAACTATGGAATATATGTATTCTCAATTAATAAAACAATAATAAAAAGGTCCTGGATTGAGTGGGAGGGGGGGGAATGTGGGACAAAACTTACTAGTTGGGTAGAGGCTGATCGAGCCCCCAAGAACAGGGTCTTCAGTCACCCTCAAGCCTGGACAGGAATTCATCCTCCCTGGCTCCGTTTTCAGCCACACAACAGACAGGTCTAGAGGGAACAACAGCGCTAGCAAGGTGCGCACACGTCAAAAAGTTCACTTGAGCTAAAAAAGGCAGCGTTTACCAAAGGATAATGTTCCGAAGGGTTAGGAAAGGAGGAGTGGAAACAGAAAGAGGGATAGTGATGAGAGGGAAAAAGTATGAATTGTTGATGGTAAAACTGATGATCTGCTCTGTAAACCTTCACTCAATTCACAAAACTGTTAGGGAAGAAATGGAAGTCCTCTGAAGATGCACTCCGCCACACGGTCACTGAGAGTGGATCAACTGGCCGGCCACAGGTCACCCCAGACCCACCATTTCACAGGCACACTATCCCGGCGCCGGGAAGCCTGCCCACAAGTGGAGGGGGGCTCTCCACACCCCCAGTGTTCAAGTTCACCCTGGAAGTGTCTGAGGCACTGTCCTAATGGCTTCACACCCTGGGCTCTCTGTCAAGTGCTTCGTTCCGAGGCAGCTGGAACCTGGCCACGGTCCTAAAACACTTGTTTCTTATGGTTCTAATGAAAAAAATGTATAAGCAACAAAGTAGAACAGAAATGAAACACTCAGGACCCAAGCCACCTTTGTACCAGATCTACTTTTATTTCAGAAGAAGTTTGTAGTAAGTATGGTATTTACTTATGCTATATACAAGTCCTTCACGTTTGTGTTTAAAATGCACAGACCTCCCTTATTCTCTGGTTCCTGCTTAAATTAGCTGTTATTTTACAATACAAAAAATACCAAAAATTGCAGTCCTAAATGTATGTATAACGCCCACAACCCCCAGCAATGAAATAGTTTACAATACTTACTCCATATTTACATGAGTGCAAGAGATGCTAAATTATACATATTAACAAACTAAGCTCGAGTTCAAACAAACAAAAACAACCGTAAACAACATAGAAACAAAGACACTTCCAGAGCCAGAATTAGTTCAACGAAACAGGCTTTGCTAGTGTTTAGAATGTTTTGTGCACAAATTCAGCGTTCCTGTCGATTCGGTTATTGCCTTTGAGAGAAGGCCGTGGTTCTCCCCACCTCTCCAGTCGGTCCCTGCAGGGAGGGTGTTGACCAGTGTCAGTGATACTCATGGAAGGAAATGGCTCTTCATGGGCCTGGCTCTCCGGAAGCCACCCACTGCAGATTTTATGGTTTGGGCAGGTTGAGTAAACTAGACCACACTAACCTTTCAGATGAGAGCCAGTGCATGCCTCAAGGACAGGAGGCCTTTGCGCTGAGGCTTCGGTCCTTCGGAAACAAGGGAAGCCCTCTGGGAAGCCAGGGGGTTGAGGAGCTGGATTTTGTTGTGACCCTAAAAGGCTTCTTTCTCACCATGGCCACTGCCCTCATGTTATCTTAGGTTAGTAAGTGCTTAGAAAATATCTGAATGGATGGATGAATGAAATGGAAGGATCAGAGATGTTGAAACCGCTACTCCTCACCCCCCCACCTTTCCTCAAACCCATTCCATTAACTCAAGGACCAAGACTTGCGCTAGAAGGTAAAACGTCTTTTTTCGACAGTGCTCTGGTCTGCTCATCTGCCTCAGATACCCCAGTGCACCTCCAGCCTTGCACCTCAGAATGTCCAGAATATTCCTCCTGCAGAGTCTTCTGCCCCGGGCCGTTTCCTCTGCAGTCTCAGGAGCGGATGTCCCTTACTCCATACGCCTCCTCCTCACTTGCTGCAGTCATGCATTTCATGGAGTGTGTCAGCAGGGAGAAGGGGACAGAGGGCTTTGGGTTCATGGTGGAGTGTACAATTCTCCCTGGGGAAACAGGAGCTATTTATCAACACACTGGTCATGCAACCCACCCCATTTTTCAGTCCCCAAAACGTAATTTATAGTAGGAACTATGATCCTGGGAAGTGGTCATTAAGAATTAGACAAAACCGGAAAAAAATACAGCCAGAACCTCCCTACTGGGGAGTCAGTTCTGACTCACAGCAACCCTCTGTAGGGTTTCCAGAGCTATGAATCTTGAGGGAAGCAGAGAGCCTCAACTTTCTCCCACGGAGCAGCCGCCTATCTTGGCTTGGTTATCAACATATCACGTTATCAGGGTCTAACAAAAGGACCTGTCAGAACTTGAATGTCCATTATATGGCACCAAAACATATCGTGTGGAACTCAGACATTACACTGAATAGAAACTCAGCGATTTGTTTTTCTGTTGTGTGTACACTTTGTCTGGGCGCTCTGCAGACTACCATTTAGTCATGTACAAGGGCAAGATCAATGTTCTCATGACCACTGGAGTTCACATATAGGCTCCCTTGTGACTCGAAGACATTTCTCCAGTCACCAGATGGTGACCCCTTCCTTCTCGGTCATTTGCACTGAGCCCCCCTTTCTCCTGAGCTGGTTCTGTGAGCAAACAAGGGGGTTTGCTCTTGAGGGAGGACCACCCCCAATGGGCTCCCTTGTTCTTTGCCAATAGGTCTGGTGTTTCAGTGTGGTGGGGACAGCTCTCTGTGGGTGTTGTACTCTTTCTGGAGCAGGGATATGGGGAGCTTGTGAGAGAGAGGAGGGGTCTTTTCCGGACTGTCTGCTTTTTAACGTGATATGAAAAAGCAGCTCTTTGAGAGGTGACTCTCAAAGTCGAGGTGTTTTGTGCATCAGATAGTGTTTTGTGATTTTGAAAAACCTTCTTAAAGACATCTTCCCGGGGAGTTCTTCACGGGGGTAGGCGTAGTGTCGGAGAGGCGATAAGAGTTCTCCCTCGAAGCACTGTATCGAATGGGGAAATACTGCTATTTTTGCTCTTTGGGTATTTTCTCCAAAGTCTGCCCCAACAGGAGAACGTCCAAGGACTCCGAGTTCTGACGCATGATGCCAGGACACAGAGCGCCGGAGACGGGGCAGGCTCCATATCCAGGTGGGGCCCGGTGGGAGAAAAGCAGCTACCAGACCTGGCCCTGCCCTGCTTCCATTTGGTCATTTTTCTGCTGGGCAGTGTTTTCCTTCCTCGGCCATTTTTTCCATGTGCTTTTCTTTGCTATAAGCGTTCACTTGCGTTGGTTACAGTCACTACTGTGGTCTGGGTTGGAAGGTGGGTGAATCGAGCCCCTCTTCAGGGGAAGGAGGGAAAACCATGTGGGGTCCTTCTTCAGGCTCTGCCCGGCAACGGGAGCTTGTCCCTCTCCTGGTGTTGTCAGATTCCACCTTGGCTGGGGAATGACACCGGAGTGTGGAGCAGGGGGAAGCAGCGCAAAGCTGATGCAGCCAGGAGTCCCTGAGCCCCAGTGCTCCTTTCTGCTCAAGGGAGACACACAACATCAGAGTGTCCGCTCCTCTGTGGGGCCCTGGTGGGATGAGGCCAGAGGGACATGAGGCGGGGCATCAGGGGGCACCTGGGGGCAACGCTCTATTTACAGTGCGCCTGTTGGTCAGGGGTAAAATGGGAATTAGTTCATCTTTGCTTTTCTCTCATTTACTGCTGCTCCACTAAATGCTCCTTGGGGTGAGGAAATTCTTTCCTGAATAAGAGCAGAATGCCAGTGGTAGCCATTTGAATTTTACAAGAATGTAGGAATGCAATTATGTAAAAACTTAGGCTCACTAACTTTCCAATTGCTAGATCTATTTAAAGTCTAGGCACTTAGTGTGTGTGTGTATACATGAGAGAGGGAGAACTTCAAGTGTATTAAGACTAAATCAAATTGCTTTAGAAAACTACCTATTATATCAGTTTGCATTCTAAGTAACACTGCTGACCTTGACATTAAAATAGCCCCTTCTATCCTAGTTTGATATTCCAAAGAGATGGACCATTAGTAATTCTCAACTAGAAAAAAGCTACTCCCTGGATGAGAGAAGTCTGCCTAAGTCGTGCAAGAATAAACAGCACATCTTTTAAAAAGACAGCAGGCTGCAGATGAAAACAAGGTGAGCTCATCTGACTAAGGTTAAAAGACTAGGTTCAAGAACAACTGATGACTAAGTCTACTTGTAAACACTACATCTCTTGTTTTTTTTTGCACAGTTGAGAGACAGTCCCAAGAACAGTTTTCCACAAGTGAACCTGAGTGTCATTCCTAGCTTGCTTCCTGGCTCTACACTGGCCTCCTCTGGTGACAACAGGCGCATCCCTGGATCTGTCATTAAATCAGTCACTTCCTCGGCAAAAGAACAAGGTTAGACGCTGGGGCACAGAGGGGAGAAACCGTCAAAGAAAGCTTGTGATCATGCAGATGAATTGGGTGCTGAGTGTTTCCAGTCTTCTGCCTGCTCCCGCCCCTGCAGACGGCTCTGGTAGGACACACGCTTGCTCTTGCTCACTCATGGGAGAGTCTCGGGCTCCAGCATCAAATGCAGGTGCCTGGCTGTGCAGGGGGCTGCTGCTTCCGGCTTCTCATGGCCCCGGACTTCTCTTTGTACACAATGGGCATCTGCTGAGAAATATCCACCAGGGCGCTGGCCACTGCAAGACCTGAATACCAACAGAGGGCGCATGTGTTAGGGAATTGCTTGCTCACCCACGCCACCCCCAGCATTTTTATTAGTATTTATTATTTTCAGAAAAAAGGATCAGAAACCACTTACATAAATGGCAGAAGTAACCATCCACATTAACACTTTTGCCCCAAGGCTATTTCCTCTCTTCTGCACTCCATCATTATAGTAAGAGACATTCCAGACACCATCAGGTTGATTCATTATATAAATAAGCCAATAAGCCAAACAACAATAACTGACTGGCACAGTAAAGACCCTCATAAGATATATGCACTCTAAAGCGTCGAGAAACAAACCTATGAAGATACAGGAGCCTGCCATATTCTGTGCTTGTGGGAGCAGACAGCATTTCCTTTGTCAGTCAAGGAGCAGCTTGTTTTAAAAAATCATTAAAAAACTTCTCTCACACCTCCATGTTGCAAACAAAAGAGGCACAGGTGAAAATCCTAGATCTATCCTGTGCCCCTGGTTACCCTCTCCCCTTTATCCAAATAATTTTTCATTAGTTTGTATATGTCCTTTTAGAGGTTCTTTATACAAATACATAGTCTGACCCTATCTGACTTTTTACACAAAAGGTGTACCTTCCTTTTCAGCAGACTAATGAAGCAAAGAATTTTACCCGGTAGAAAGAATATCAAATTAGATTGTAGACTGGTTCCAAGTGCTAAACCTCCCCTACCTGACTCCAAAAGATTACAAAAATTAGCACATGCCTCCTTAGAGAAGACTCAAATCCATTCCGCACTGCTCGGCCAGCATCGGTTCTTTTACCTACCTGTGCCTTCGTGTCCTCGTTTATAATAAGGGGATAACAGGAGCACAGGGTTATTGGGAGGAGCTAGTGAGTGAATCTATGCAAAGTACCCGCATGTACTTTACACAGCTGGCATGTAGCAAGACCTATATTATCTTTCAGTCTGAAGACCACCACCTCCACCCAGGACATTTCTTGTAAGATCAGTAACGGACATCAGAGAAGGTGTAATTCTAGAGAAATTGGGCTCATAATGTGTGGAGACAGGACAGCCAACCCCAAATCCCCACCGAGGCTCTCAGGATGTTTCTGAACGCTGTTGCCCTGCTTGCTATAGAACAAGGGGGCGCTCTTAAGGGGACAATGACGTTGTTAGATGCCGTCGAATCGGTTTTTACTCAAAGTGGCCCTACACACAACAAAGGAAGCACTCTTAGTCCTGTGCCATCCTCAAGATTGTTGTTTGAGCCATTGTTGGCTGCCATGTGTCAATGCATCTCCTTGGCATTCTTTCTCTTTTTTGCTGATCTCTTTTACCAAGCATGATGACCTTTTCCAGGGAAAGGGCATCCTGATAATGTGTCTTGCCATCCTTGCCTCTAAGGAGCACTCTGGCTGTACTTCTTCCAAAATAGATTTTTTTTTGTTCTTCTAGCAGTCCATGGTACTTTCAATATTTTCGCCAGTACCCTCATTCAAATGCATCAATTCCTCTTTGGTCTTCCTCACTCAATGTTGAACTTTCACATGTGTATGAAGTAACTGGAAATACTATGGCTTGGGTCAGGTGCACCTTAATCTATAAAGTAACGTCCTTGCTCTTCAATACTTTAAAGACGTCTGGTGCAGCAGATTTTCCCAATGCTGTTGATTTTCTGACTGCTGCTTCCATGAGCATTGCTTGTGGATCCAAGATGAAATCCTTGACAACTTTAACCCTTTCTCTGTGTATCGTATTATCTGCTGGTCCAGCTGTGAGGACTTGGTTTTCTTTTCATAGAGCTGTAACCCACACTGAAGGCTGCAGCCCTTGATCTTCATCAGCCACCTGCTTCAAGTCCTCCTCACTTTCACCGAGCAAAGTTGTATCATCTGCATATGGAAGGTTGTTAATAAGCCTTTCTTCAATACTGATGCCATATTCCTCTTCAGCGACTGAAATGATTTTGCTCAGCATACAGATTGATTAAGTATGGTGAGAGGACATAACCCTGACATACACCATTTCTGATTTTCAAACATGCCATATTCCCTTGTCCTGTTCAAAGACTGCCTCTTAGTCCATATGCAGGCTCCACATGAGCACAGTGAACTGTTTTGAATTCCCATTCTTCTCCATATTATTTGTAGATGATCCACAGAGTCAGGTACCTTCGCATAGTCAATGAAACATAAGCAAGCATCTTTCTGGTATTCTCTGCTTTGAGCCAAGATCCATTAGACCAGTAATGGTAACCCTCATTCTACAGTGTTCTGATCTGGCTTGAATTTCTGGCAGCTCCCTGTTGCTGTACTGTTACTCTGCTGTTGAATTATTTTCAGAAATTCATTTGCATGTGATATTAATGACATGGTTTGAAAATTTCTGCATTCTGTGGGTTCACTTTTCTTTGGAAAAATCTGGATCTCTTCTAGTCAGCTGGCTAAGAAGCTGACTTCCAAATTTCTTGGCATAGGTGAGTGCTTCTAGTGCTTCACTAGCTTGCTGGAGCATTTCAATTGGTATTTCTCAAAATATTACTTGGTTCTCAAAATAAAGTGCTTGGTGTAATGTCTAGCATGCAGTGCCGGATGCACATCAACACATCAAGAAGTAACTGTCACAGCAAAGGTGTTCCTGAGCATGCTAGGAGTGATCAGTCCCCAGAGGATACCATGCCTCATCAAGTAGAGGGTCAGGAAAAAGAAGACTCTTGATGAGAGGAATTAACACAGGGCTGACGAGGCTCGAATACTGCAATGACCACATATGGTGCAAGACCGGGAGGGTTTTACTGTTATACATGGGGCGGTAGGAGTTAGAGCCATCTTCTGAACGCCTAACACCAACACCCACAGTAACAATGTTCACGATAGCTATTATATGAAGAAAGAAGACTAAAAATTACATTTGTACTGTCGTTTGGGTTGAACTGCTGGTAAGGGCTGGAAAAGAAAGAAGGAAAAGAAACACTGTTGGGTATTCGGATGCGGTGAGTGAGTAAAAGGTCCCTTTCGTTGCGACAATCATTGTTTATGCTTTCTACTTGAAACAAAGTGAAAGGCAAGAGAAAGTGCAGTAGTGCTGGAAATATCCATTTGAGAAACACTAGCTTTGAAGCTGGAAGTCAGAGGATAAGATATGTGAGGGAGAATGTACAGAGCGAAGGAGGGAGAGATTTAGGAGTCAGAAGAAGGGCTAGAGGGAGGAAAGGGCGAGTTAGAACTAAAGGGGTTTCAGGAATACTGGCAGCACAGGAAGGTGTGATCAGAAGTATCAGCTATCACTGAGAGGCTGAGGAAGCTGGGGCTGTGAAGAGAACCCTGGACATCTCCCTTGGACAAGTGAATGGGGATCCTGGCCAAAGAGTTTTGGGAACATGCATGACAAAGGAATTCCCTCACTGAATCCCTGCAAGGAAGAGAGGCAGGTACTATTCCATATTGCCTTTCTCCCAAATTTTAGTACAGAGAAGTATCCAGTACAGCGCTCCTTTCCTGTGTCAACCACGTCTGCCCAGACTCCTATGTACTCACCTGACTGTCCAGGCGGAGGGATCCCACCAAGGCCTTGAGGGAGCCTCACAAACACAGAGAGGACGGCAGCTTTGTTGCCAAAGCACGGCTCGAGCGCGATGGGCTTGGGAACAGTCTGGTGGAGGAAGGCAGAGAGTCACCTAAAGCTTTAATGGACACAGACAGCGTCATGATGATTTAGTGCTCACCGGGGCATCCATTTTAGGGGTATAGAAAATTGTACATTATAGGTAAGATCCTGAAAATAAAACATAAAAGTTAGTAACAATCATTTAATATCAGTGAGAAGAATGATACTCTTAGCTATCTTCCTTTAGTAGGTAGGTCAAATAGTTCAGTACAAAGAAACTTTTAAAAATGGAAAGTTCTTCAGCTGTCTTAGGAGACCTGTCACTTGTAAGAGCTACTGCTGACCAAATGGATCTCTCATCTATTCTCTGAAAAGATGTCTTTATTTTCTTTTGTCACCTTTGGATGTGGTTTTAGGAGACACCCTCTGCATTTCTTTGTTGTATCACAAATCACCACAAGTTTAGTTGCCTGAAACAGCATCCATTCATTGTGTTATAGTTCAGTAGGTCAGAAGTGCAGCTGGACTCTGTAGGGTTTTCTGCTCAGTCTCCCAAGACCTAAGTCAAAGTGTTGGCTAGGCTGTGCTCTTATGTGTAAGGGAAAAATCTGATTCCAAACTCATTTTCAAATGGATAAAATCCAGTTCCTTGAGGCTGCAGGTCTGAGGTCTCCATTTTCTTGCCTTCTGTTGGTTAGAGGCCACTTTTGTCCCCAGGGGGCCTTCTCATAAGGGCCCCAACATTTTCAAATCAGTGGTGGGGCTCCCAGTCCTTCTCACACTTGAATCTCTGGCTTCCTCTTTTTCTAGCAGCTAGAGAAAACTCTCTCCATGTCTCAACACCTATCTTGAGACTTTTATTATATCTGAGAACTCCCTTTATGGAAACACTTGGAATAGTGTTTGAATGAATAATGATGGAGTAGGGGTCTTGGTGGGCGACTTTAAAATTCTACCTGTGACATCCCACAATATGTCTTTAAACGTAGGTGAAGAAAGCCATTACCAGCACCATCTGGCCAATAGACTGAAAACTGTTTAAATGACTGAAATGCCCAAAGTGGGGAAACCAGTTTTGAGGCTACAGCAATAATTTAAGAATAATGGTCTATGCTAACAGTGTCAGCTGTTGGAAACTATTTTTGAAGACAAAGCCAAGAAGGGATGCTGATGCCAAATGAGAGAACAGGCCCAAGAGTAAGTCAAGGATGATTCCACGGTTTTGTCTGAGAAACGACGAATTTACCGAGTGAAGGGAGACATGGCAAAGGAAGAGGTCTGGGGAACAACATGCAGTTTGTTTTAGACAAGGTAAGTTTGAGAGGCCTGTGGGGACATGGAATAAGCAACCAGAGAGATGCGTTGGGAGTCTCATGGTCTGGGTGGGGAAGGTCATGTTGTTTAAAGCCACGACAGAAAAGATCACTGAAGGAGAATGTGTAAAAGGTATGAAAGGAGCTGGGGGTATAGCACTGTTAAGCTGTTGCAAAGATGAAGAGGATCACGCAAAGAACACGGTCAGGTAGTGTCTTGGAAAGAAAGACAAGTAAATGCTTAATGCCATGGCCTGTGCACACGAGGCTGTGCACAACCTCTTTCTTTTTCCTTAAATCAATTATTATTTTGTTATTGTAATTTTGCTCAGATTTATGTATGCTTACAATTTACTCATTATTCCTTCTTATACTTCAGTTCATCCTCCTGGGGTAATTTTCTGTCTAGTACATCATTTAGGCATTTCTCTTGTTCAGGTTTGCTGGTTGCAAACTGTTTCCCTTCTAGTCTGAAGGTAGTTAATTTCATCCTTGCTCATGGACGGTATTTTAGTGGGCAGGCTGGTCTAGGTTGGCAGCTCTCTTCTGTCAGCACTTAGTAGACATTCTTCTACTCTTTTCTCGCTTCTGGTGTGCTTAGTGAGAAGTCAACTCTTAGCTGTCATTCCTTTGTGGGTGATCTGTCCTTTTTTAAGATCTTGCTGTCTCTTGAGTGCTGCAGTCTCACTCTGATACATCCAACTGTAGCTTCCTTTCCTAACTTTCCTTAATTTCTCTAATCCTGCTTGTGATGTTTTGCTTCCAGAAAGTTACATTAGTTCTGGAAACCAATCAGCTACTATCTCTTATGTTCCTACAACTCTACCCATACTTTAGTTGGACCTTATTTTCCATACTTATTTTCTGCTATATAGCTCCCTTTCTCTGTGTGCCACACGTGCCATTTCTTCAGCTTCATGTTCAGTTAATAAACTCTCTCCCTAGCTGGGTTGGATATGCTATTTCACACGCAATGAAAATAAACCCAATTACTCTATTTTTCATTTCTAGACATTCCACTTGGTTCTTCTTCAGATCTGCTAGGCCACTGTTTACTATCATTGACAGATCATCTTCATGATTCTTAATTTTCACCAAATAGTCCATATTTCACTAAGCTATATTTCCTTACTGGGGGAACATTTTATGTTTTAGGAGAAAGTTTACACAGGAAATTAGTTTTTCATTGAACGCTTCAAACACAAATTGTCCCAAGGACCAATAATGAGAGTAGCGACACCAGGAGGGGAAGGGGAGGGGAGAGAGGGGGAACAGATCACAATGATCTACATATAACCCCCTCCCTGGGGGACAGACAACAGAAAAGTGGGTGAAGGGAGACAGTGGTTGGTGTACGACATGACAAAAAAATATCAAGGGTTCATGAGGGAGGGAGGGTGGGGGGAAAACGAGCTGATACCAAGGGCTCAAGGAGTAAGAAAATGTTTTCAAAATGATGATGGCAAAATATGTACAAATGTGCTTGACACAATGGATGTATGTATGGATTGTGATAATAGCCCCCAATAAAATGATTAACCTCCCTCCAATACCACAAATTGTTCCGTCACATTGGTTGCTATTCCTACAATGTGTCAGCATTCTCCCCATTTCCACTCCACCGTCCTCATTTCCATCCATTCCGTTTCCCTGGCCCTCTGTGCCTTTTCATCTGTGCTTTTAAGCATTTGGTCTTGTTGACTATTCTAAGGAGCACATTCTTCATGGATGCTGTTTATTTTATAAGCCAGTCTATTATTTGGCTGGAAGTGATCTTTGGGAGTGGCTTCAGTTACAAGTTAAAAGAATGTTTTAAGGCAATAGTCCATAATTGTGTCCTCAGGAATTGTATTATACATATGAGTATATATGCAGCACATACAAAGATACATATACAAATGCCCACAAATATATCTAGATATGCATGGACTGTACTCTTATATTAAACCACTCCCGCACCTAAATAGCCGCTCATAAAATTTTGGTTAAGACTGCTGTTGCAGAATTGTATGTTTTAGCACTTCCTGTAGTTCTTTATTCCTGGGTACTAATCAGCGTCTTCACTTACCTTGGTCTTAAGGTGCTGACTTCTCTCACTGTGCACTTGTTTTCACTTCTCCAGAATTAACACATCTGCTATCTAGTATCCTTCCTTCCTATCTCATCCTTGGTAGCCATCGAAGAATATGTGTGAGCCTGTTTTAGACTTTTTTATAAGAGTGGTAATGTACAGTATTTGTCCCTTTGTGATGGGCTTATTTCACTCATTAGCCCTGGTGTCATAGTTGGTTATATGTTGTGCTGCTACCTGCAAATTTGAATCCATCGGCCACCCCAAGGGAGAAGGATGAGATTTTCTTCTCCTGTATTTCACTCAGCATAAGGACCTCCATATTCAGTCATGTTATGTTTTGTGGATTCATCATTATTCTCTTAAAATTTATTATTAATTGGAAGTATATATTATTCCATAGTTCAATCCCACCAAGCATTATTGTACAATTGCTACCACAATCAGTTTCCAAACATTCTTTTCCTCTCTGGACTCCCTGACATAGTCTCCCTCTTATCTGCCCCCAGCCCCATCATCACTATTCTTTATCATCGCATAGTACTCCATCGTATGTATGCATCACATTTTGTTTATTCATTATTTGCTGATGAGCACTTGTTGTTTCCATCTTTTTGCTACTGTGAATAGTGCTGCAATGAACATGGGTGTGTATGTCTATTTCTTGAGGATATATACTGAAGAGTGGGATTGCTAGATATTATATTTCTAATTTTTTGAGAAAGTGTCATAGTGTATTCCAAAGTGGTTGTACCACTTTATAATCCACCAGTGTATGAGTTCAAACTCCCCAGAATTTGCTGTCTTTTTTTTTTGTACTGAAATTTTTGCAGGGGTGAACTGGTACCTCATTGTAGTTTTGATTTCTCTCTCTGATAGTTGGTGGGCTCAAACATAAGAACAATTGTGAGGATGGTGCAGGGTTCCTCTTAGTCAAAACTGACTTGAAGGCACACAACAACGACTAATCGATGGTAACCACCTCTCTGTGTGTTTGTTAGCCACCTAAACATTTTCTTCGAAGTATCTGTGTGGTAGTTACATAATCTGGTGTCAACTTGAGACTTAAGAGTGAAGGGGTGAAGTTTAGCGTGTGAATCAGGTCGCAGCTTGATAACCTCAATTTAGAGGTGCTACAGAGATAAATTGCTTGCTGGAGGCAGGACACACACTCACTCCTTTGCGAAACATTCCTTTTGAGAAGATACATGGAGCTATACTAGAGCTCTGGAGCTGAGAGAGCCACGTGGAGACCCCTGCCAGCACTGAGATGCTTCCACTGTCACTCGATCCACAAGACTTCCCACCTACTGGCCTGTGATCTTCCTGCATTCAGTGTCATTGCATATGGTTTGTGAGTCTGAAGAGGAATTTACAGATTGCTACTGGTTATATGGGCTAATACTGGACTTAGGGACTTGATCTGGACTGGCTGGGCTGTTTTCTCAATATTCAATTGCTCTTGTATATAAAATTCTTTCTTATGCGTATGGATTTGTTTCTCTAGTCCACCCAGACTAATACAATCTGTTTATATCCTTTGCCTATGTTTTGATTAGACTGTTTGTCTTTTTGTTGTTGAGGTATTTAAGTTTTCTATATATTTGAGCGATAGGCCCTTATGAGAAATGTCACTGTGAAAACTTTCTCCCAGTCGGTAGGTTCTCTCTTCACATTTTTGGTGCAGTCTTTTGATGAGTATATAAAAGGATGTCAACATATTTTTTTGGAAAATGGAATTTAAAGACAATGGAATTTTTAAAAGAACTTTATTAAGCCCTCTATTGTGTATTGCATTTTTTAGAAGGTTCCAGTTACCTAGTTTATCTTCTGTTGTTTGTGAATTTTTCATTATGTTTGATAGTATGTATTTATGGCATAAATTAGGACCCCTGGCATTGATCCTATGTTATCTTCCAGGAACTTTATAGCTTTAGGTTTAACATTTAGGTCTTTTTTAAAAAAAAAAATTTTATTGGGGGCTCGTATAAGTCTTATCACAATCCATAGATCCATTCATTGTGTCAAGCACATCTTTACATTTGTTGCCATCATCATTTTCAAAACATCTTCTTTCTACTTCAGCCCTTGGTATCAGCTTCTCATTTTTTTCCCTTGCCCCCCTTCACCTTCCCTCCCTCATGAACCCTTGATAATTTATAAATTATTATTATTTTTCCATGTTTTATACCGATTGATGTCTCCCTTCACCCACTTTTCTGTTGTCCATCCCCCTGGGAGGGGGTTATATGTAGATCATTGTGATTGGTTTCCCCCTTTCTCTCCCAACCTTCTCCTTCCCCTCCTGGTATGCTACTCTCAATATTGGTCCTGCATTAGGCCTCTACTCAAGTACTCCCTCAATGCAAGAATACTTTGTTCTATTAAACTGGCATTCTATGATGCTCACCTTCCTGACATGATCGCCTAAGACAAAGCGGGTGCATAAGCAAATGTGGTGAAGAAAGCTGATGGTGCCCAGTTATCAAAAGATATAGCTTCTGGGGTCTTCAAGGCTTGAAGGTAAACAAGTGGCCATCTAGCTAAGAAGCAACAAAGCCCACATGAAAGAAGCACACCAGCCTGTGCAATCATGAGGTGTTGAAGGGATCAGGTATCAGGCATCATCCGAACAAAAAATCATCAATGTGAATAAGGAAGGGAGTGTGGAGTGGAGACCCAAAGCCCATTTGTAGGCCACTGGACGTCCCTTACAGAAGGGTCTCGGGGAAGAGACGAGCCAGTCAGGGTGCAATGTAGCAACGATGAAACATACAACCTTCCTCTAGTTCCTAAATACTTCCTTCCCCCACTATCATGATCCCAATTCTTCCTTACAAATCTGACTAGACCAGAGGATGTACACTGGTACAGATAGGAACTGGAAACACAGGGAATCCAGGGCGGATGATCCCTTTAGGGCCAGTGGTGTGAGTGGTGATACCGGGAGGGTAGAGGGAGGGTGGGTTGGAAAGGGGGAACCAATAAAAAGGATCTACATATAACTTCCTCCTTGGGGGTGGACAACACAAAAGTGGGTGAAGGGAGATGTTGGACAGGGCAAGATATGACAAAATAATCATTTATAAATTATCAAGGGTTCATGAGGGAGGGGGTAGTGGGGTGGGAGGGGAAAAATCAGGAGCTGATGCCAGGGGCTTAAGTGGAGAGGAAATGTTTTGAGAATGAGGAGGGCAATGAATGTACAGATGTGCTTTACACAATTGATGTGTGTATGAATTGTGATAAGAGTTGTATGAGCCCCTAATAAAATGATTAAAGCAAATGCAAAACAAAAAAAAATTGGTCCCGAGGGGTTTATCTGTCCTGCATTTCCTGTGTTTCCAGTTCTTATCTGTACCCGAGTAAATGTTCTTGTCTAGCCAGATTTGTAAGGTAGAATTGGGGTCATGATCGTGAGGGTGAGGAAGCATTAAAGAACAACATTTAGGTCTTTGATCCGTTTTGGGTTAGTTTTTGTGTATTTTGTGAGGTAAACTGTGTTCTTTAGATGTCAATTCTAGCAACTGGAGTACTGTCTAAATTCAAATCTATTGTTTCGATTGACTTCTAATTCACACTGACCAGGTAATCTGTGATGGTTTCATCTGGATCTGTGGGAATCTTGTAGGGGTGAACTTGGGATGCTTTTCTTCAGAGAGGATTTACATCTACTTTAGCTGGGAGGTGTGGTGTTACCAATCTGGAATCACTTCACATCCCTCATGGATCTGACTTTTGGCTCATGGTTTATTCTTTTTGGAGGGTGGAGTGTGGTGGGGAGGAAAGAAAGATGATCTCCAGAGGTGCCATCTACTTCCCGTTAGTTCTTCATGCTTCAGAAAGCATGTTTTATTCAGCACATGGCTGTCGGTGTGGGCAGGTTCCCCAGTCTCTATGGCACCATTTGCCCCAAAGAGAAACTCTTCACATTCTTCTTCATCTTTTCCCAGGGGGTGGAGGGTGAGATTAAAGATATTTACTTTCCCAAAAGTAGACTGTGAATTAAGATTTTGCTTCTTTAAGTAAAACCCTAAGATAGAACTATACAGTACTGTTTGATTTAGCTAGTTCCAAGTATTATGCCACATAATATTTATAAGGAAATCAGACAAGTCATTCTGTGACCCAAGAATGCTTAATGACACAAAGCCGCGACTGCAGGATGAAAGTGAAAGAGGACCGGACCGAGTCAGGGTTTGCTCAATGCTAGGAAGAGGTGGGAAAAAGAAGCCGCGACGGCGTAAGGTTCCTGCTCTCTCTGGTTTCCCAGGATGAGAAGGGTGAGTTTGGGCAGTTAAATGATATGGCTTTGTGAATCAAATCCTCACCTTTATACTTCCACCAATAAGATCAGGGGGCTCCTCATCTGTTTCCAAGGCAACATTTACAGAGGCAAAGGGACGACTGGCCATCTGCTGCATCTCTCGAAGAAGTTGCTAATGAATAAATAATACAGCAAGCATTAGCACAAGGAAGGCTGAGATTTTATCAGAGAATACTACATATTAAAAACACCTCATTTCCCCCTATTCAACTTGGGAATGAACACGGATGAGGTATTAGCTAACACTCATACAACTCATTGCCTTCACGTGGGCTCGACTCCAAGACACTCTATAGGGCAGAGGAGAACTGTCTTGTAGGGTCCCCCAAACCATCATCTTTATGGAAGTGGACGGCTACGTCTTTCTCTCAAGGAGTGGGTTCAACATGTGACCTCTGAGTTGGCAGCTGATTGCTTAAGGGCTGCATCATCAGGGCTCCTTCAGAGACATCAGGGATTACTACTTTGTGTTGAATGTGATAATAGTATTGTCATTATAGTTTTTTCCTTTTGCCAATATTCAACGAAGATTTATTGATTTTGTTTTTCATGAATAATAGCCCCTGTGTGGAACTTGACACGGCACATCTCTTTTAAAGACAGTTGTGATTTACTATACATTTATGGGGGAAATGCTACATTAGTATTTGATATCAACTACTTCCAACTTTGTTGGGGTAGTTGAGGGGATGTGCACAATAACCTTCTAGGTAATAAACTGCTAGTGGATGGAAACAGTTCTACAGGTTGTGTACTATATATTTTTTTTAATTTAAATTTTATTTTATTGGGGGTTCTTACAGCTCTTATCCCAATGCATACATATATCCATTTTGCCAAACAAATCTTTAGGTATGTTGTCATCATCTTTTTCAAAACATTTTCTTTCTACTTGAGCCCCTGGCATCAGCTCCTCATTTCCCCCCTATAGTTTTAAAAGTCCTTATTTGCTACACAGAAGGTACTGATGTATTGATGGACATAATGCGACGATGCCTGCCTGTTAGGTACATAAAATAAATGATGTAAACCTATTTGTTCTGTATTTTATTACTATATCAAAGCCAAGCTCTTTCTCTTTTTGCTGAAATGTGAGCCAGGTGCTCACACAGCAACAAAAAACAGCCCCTCATGATGCAGTTAACAAGCACTAAGAGAATGTTTTATTTGGCAAGATGGTATAAGCTAAAGGCATAAACAAGCGTGAAGTTTGGCAAGGAGAAGGGACAAGCAGGGGCTCTGGATTTAGACAGCTTGGGTATGGATCCTGGGCTACAATGCTGTTCAGCTGCTGGACCTTGGGAAATGTGCTTAGTCTCTATGCTCCAGTTTCTTCCTCTCTGAAATGTATTTTTATCCCACACCTGTCATTAGAGCAAATAGGATAATTTAACTACCATGGTGCGCCTAGCCCACAGTGAGTGGCTAACCATATCTCATGCAGGGCATTGAGTTGATGTTGACTCAGCGACCCTATAGAACAGAGTAGAACTGCCTCTGTGGGTTTCTGAGATTATAACCCTTTATAGGAGTAGAAAGCCCTGTCTTTCTCCTGAGAAGTGGCTGGTTGTTGTGAACTGCTGAACTTGAAGTTAGCAGTACAACATGTATGCCACTAGGGCTCCTTATAAAAGGGGGCAGTTCTCCTCTATTCTATAAGGTCAGTGTTGAGTCAGAATCAACTCAGTGGCAGTAGATTGGGGATTTTTTCCTGTTTTTGGAATGGGTCAGGTTCATAAGTACTTGCAGATACATCATGTCCCACATGTCTCATAAAGGCACCAGATGTGAGCTGGAGCAGAGGTTTTGTCTTATTGAAACCTTGGCAGTTGGAATGGCACAGAACCTAGGACCATGGGCCAAGAAGAGAGAAGCTCTGCTTTTGAAGCTTAGTGCTCTTAGTAACCATGTGATGATGGCATGTGCCTTCACCTTTCCGAGCCCCAGCCCCTCATATTTAATAGTGCTAGAGGCAGCACCTATTCCACAGGGTTGTAGTGAGGACTAAATTAATGTGTGCAAAATTACCTAAATCATTGTCTGGAGCTTAGAAACAGTCAACTCCCAGCTCTGATTATGTCTATGCCTACCTAGATTTTATTGGTACAGTTTCTAAAGTTTCTTTTTCATGATTGATGTTATCTAGATAACATAGTTTATAGTATTAAGGAGAGATTATTTGTAATTGTACTAAGAACTTTATTTTAAAGTTAGGAATGGTGTTGAATTTCATTAAATGACTATATATTACTTGGCCTCTACTGATAGCTTAAATTTTATTTTTTTAAGTCACTTTATTGGGGGCTCTTACAGCTCTTACAGCATTCCAAACATCAATTGTATCAAGCATATTTATACATATGCTGTCATCAACATTTCCAAAACATTTTCTATTTGAGCCCTTGGTATAAGCTCCTCTTTTCCCCCTCCCTACCCCATCCTCGTGAATCCTTGATCAATTACATATTGTTGTTATTAATTCGTATCTCATACTGTCTATTGTTTCCCTTCACCCACATTTCTGTTATTCGAATTTTATTTTTTTAACCTACTGAAATACTCTAGTAGTTTTCTAATATAAAACATGGGCAAATTATATATTATACAAGTGACATTTATTTAATTTGTTGTTGTTGAGAATATACATACACCAATTCAATAATGTCTACACTTACATTTTTCATAATGATTATATTCTTCAAGCTCTGAAACCATCTCCCTCCCACCTTTCCTAAACTTTCCTTCCCCATGGACATGACATTTAAATGTTGGTGCTTCCCAGTTTCTGTGCACGAAATGAATTAGGAATATTTTAAGTCTAGCATCTTTTCCTTGTTCTGAAACGGCTTATGCATTTTATAGCGTTAATGCCCGTAAGCACCCAAGGAGAAACAAACAGTTATTATCATTGTAAGTTTATCTCAATCATGAAACTATTTGGGTTTAATGCCCTTCTTGAAATACTACTACTATGACACATTTTCCATTCCTTCCCTGGCCACTGGTTTCCTGCAGTTTCCAACTTCTTTCTCACACCATTTGGATAACATTTTCTTCTTTTTTTCCAGAACACCATTCCATGGGTTTTTAAAAATAGTAACAGATCTATTAAAAAGAACCTTTGATGGTGACCATTCCAAATATGATGAACATAGTTAATGCCACTGAAAGCTACACACAAAAAGATGTTGAAATAGTGAATGTTTGATTCTCTATGAAGGGAGCGTCAAAAAATTCATGAAAAAAATAAATGGAAACTTTCCAAGTAAAACAAACAAAAATCCTCTGAGGATGTTGTTGTTGTGTTGTCTTAATATTCTTGACTTGGTCTCTAGGTTCTAAGATCCATTAAAATGGTTACACAGAACTCATGGACAAAATTCCTATTTAAAGGGTTTATTTAAGGACGTTAACAAGCTGTAATGCTAGTGAGAAATGCTTAGGGCTTAGCTGTTTACCAGCACTCAGTACAATATTCTGTCAAGTCTGCTGATAAATGCCCAAAGGGCAAACCACTCTACTATAAACCTCAACCTGAAGGCATTCAGAGTCATTCATATTAAATTCCCATGTGTCAGCACACTCAGCTCCCTGAATTAAGTGCCCAGAGGCACCCACTCCATTAAGCCTTAACTCAGCAGTTCTCAACCTTCCTAATGCTGTGACCCCTTAATACAGGTTCCTCATGTCGTGGTGACCCCCCAACCATAAAATTATTTTTGTTGCTACTTCATAACTGTGATTTTGCTACCGTTATAAATCAGGTGACCCCTGTGAAAGGGTCATTCAACCCCCAAAGGGGTCGCAACCCACAAGTTGAGAACCGCTGCTTTAACTCAAAGGCACTCAGCTATGCTTCTGTGGATCATCAATCCCAACTTCTTATATTAAGTACTCAGCCAGAAGGAACTCCACTCCACTTCCATGAGCCAGCAAGTCCAATTCCTCCAATTAAATGCCCAGAGGCACCATACTGCGCAAGCCAGCCTGCTGCACAAAAGCACTCAGCTTTCCATGCTCCATCACTACCTTCCATTCTCTGGTTCCTGGTTCTGCTGCCGCTCTTCTGATGTTATAGATATTCTTCCAGATCCAGGAGGGTCACTGTTCAGGGATCTTGGGTACAAAGGACACTCTCCACTCCTGACTGCTGCTGGTAATGAGATCCTTCCCTTCTGCTTCTCAGAGGGCTCATTTTATACATGGCAGGATGGCATTCCAGGGAATACTGTTCATAATTACTCACAGGTGAATCGTATCAGTACCTTGCCCCACCTTCTTACCCACGGACATGCAGGATAGGGTTGTTTGGTGAAGTTGAGCCACATTAAATGACTCACTGCCCCTGCGGTTGTCCCCTGAATTTAAAAGATAAGGATACTAAAAAAGATATAACATTGCACCTTGAGGAGGTCAGAAAAGGTCTTATCATGGCCCAAGGGGTGTAAACCCAGACGGCCTGAAGCCTCCCTAATCCTGCTACAGGCACTAAAGTTCAAAGAGCAGCGCTGAGTACTTGAGAGTGATTTTTTTAGCCACTCCCATTCTCTTCTGAAAGTGTCTATATATTTCTAGATAGAAAAAAGGTGTGAGTTGATATGGAAATCCAAGGAGCATTCCCTTAGAAACAATGCAGTAGGCATGGTAACTGAATGAGTGGTGGTGGTCCAAGTCAAAGTCACACTAGAAAAAGCTTTTATGTTGTAAACTATAAATATTTACTTATTAATGCTACTTTTGAAATGGCATGCTGGAGAAAAATCCTATTAAGAAAACAACCTCAAGTAAAAACTTAATTGGATACACACCAATCTTTCCTTGAATAATGAGACATTCTGGATATGCCCGATTTCAGCCACATTCTCCTGAAAGGCTACTTAGGGAGGCTGGGCCCAATCAAGTGCTGGTACAACCCTGTTAGGAAACCCTTTGAGGGTAAAGATTTGGAGTTTTGGACAGAATCTCCTGGGCATTTGTAAGTCAATACTAGAATTTCCTTTTAGAAAGATTGAATCCTGTAGCATTAATTAGACTTCACAGCACTAATCAAAACCTACTATGTACAGAAGCATACACACTGCAAAAAAGGGTAGCATTATTCTTATCAATACAAATTCTTATTCTTTTCACGGCAAAATCAACCAAACAAGCAATCATCACAAAATAGTTAAAACTGCCTTGCTTAAGACTGGGAGAAAGGGGAAAAAAAGCTCTTAGAGGGCTCCCACGAGGCTTACCTCTCTGCGCCTGGATGCCCAACAGCTTTGCTTGATCTTCCAAACCACAGCAGCCACCAGGAGCAAAGAAAGGAAACAACTGCAGGAAAGGAAAGGGTCAGTTATTACTCCAGCCCTGGACAGGACAGGCAGGGACATGTCCCCTAAGCCCAACTCCATGCTCCGTTCTGATGAGCCATTACAGCAAGGCACGGTTCACAGTGAGCAAAGGACAACAAGGCTACAAGCCTTTAGGAAGCTGACCTTCTTGACCTGACCTCTGGCTTATCCCATCACGGCTTATCACAGGTTAAGAAGAACAATCCTCCAATAAGCATGCTGTTTAATGCTTGTTCATGCAAAAATGAGAAGAGTTGTTAGAGTAATGTGGCTGTTACATAATCTGTCAACTTGCGAAGGGGTGGAGTCTAGCCTGTCAATTAGGCCGCAGCTTGATGACCTCATTTGGAGGCGCAAAGTAGATAAAAGGCTCACTGGAGGCCAGGCACACTCTCTCTGTAACGCATTCCTGTTGACGAGTCACATGGAGACACAATGATGGCAGCCAGTAGCCCTGGAGCTGGAGGAGTCATGTGGAGACCCATGCCAGCACTTAGATGCTTCCACTGCCACTGGATCCACAAGACTTTCCACCTACTGGCCTGTGATCTTCCTGCATTCAGCATCATTGTATGTGTTTCGTGAGTCTGAAGAGGAATTTATGGATTGGTATTGGACATATGGGCTAATATCGGACTTATGGGCTTGATCTGGACTGGGCTGGGATGTTTTCTCAATATACAATTACCGTTTTATGTAAAGCTCTCTCTTACACACATAAGAGTGTCCCTGGTTTTGTTTCTCTAGTCTACATGGACTAACACAAGTTAACTGTAACTTCTGATACAGAAGAAGTACATTTATGTGTAAGAATCAATACAAGGGGGCTCCCATACAGTTTGTGGAAAAATGGAATCAAAAGATAATGGAGTGTTTCCACAACTTTTTTTTTTT